AAGATGTTTACTGTTGTACATTGTGTTCTACAGCTTGGTGTTCAACAGCAATGTGAACTTCTTGACTTGGAACAATTCCCTAACAAGATTCATGCCATCGGTGCTACACTGGTGGACATAACTAATTTGACTTTTGGCTGTTTGAACGAATTGTGTGTCATGACACCATCAATTCGATTCTTTCCCTACCTTCAACCATGGCACAAAATAAAAGGAGATGATGGACGAGTAGTGAAATGAAGATTGTCTTCATACAATATATTTGTATGTGAATCCTTCAAGGAAGCTATGCTGATGTGGCCACAAGCGTTCTATTACAGTTGAAAGTTTGCAAGCGGACAATTCTCATTCGGAAGGGGTTCTCCATTTGAAAAATAGTGCGATCCAAGTCTGATTTACAGAGGACAAACCAAAAGGAGGGGAATTGGGGTTTGCAGTTGTCCGTCCACAAGTAACACCAAACTCAGTTGGCATACGGGCTATGTGGCCACAGCTTTCCCATTTCAAGTCAATCTATTGTAACTCTGTTTAAAGTATTGAAAAAAAGAGTCCATTCTAATTTTGCATCTGTACACATCATTCATATAAGCAATCTTAGGGAAATCCAGGTCCTTCTTTGGCCTCTCTCTGGTGATGCATGTCCACTTTTTTTTGGTGATACTGTACATGACTGGCACACCCTGGGAGTCTTGTAATGAACAGAATTGAAATTATTTGGAAAAAAAAACCTATGTGCTCTCTAAACCAGTGGTTCTCAAACTTGGTTCTCCAGTTGTTCTTGGACTGTAACTCCCAGAAATCCTGGCCAACCCAACAAGTGGTGAAGGCGTCTGGGAATTGCAGATGAACATCTGGGGGTCCCAGTTTGAGAACCAGTGCTCTAAACCAAAACTCACACCCTGAGCCACTCATGGTCCTCCGGCTGGTAGTCTGTCAGTCCTCATCCATTTCTAGTGAGGGCTAATTTTTCCAGCAAAACCTGGACCTCCAACAACAGAAGGTTGCATTTCAGAAACAAGCAAGAATGTGTGGAACCCTTCCGGCTCATTCTCCTGCATCCACCAAGGCATGTCAACAATGTTCCTCATGGCATGTTGGTCAAAACTGACAATGGACTCTTTGTGTTTGACTCGCCCTCCAAAATTCACATGCTTTCCACCCCACAGATGAAAACATGCACATTTTTATGGTATATTTTTTCAAAAACAATTAAAGGAAAACCTCAACCTTTTGCACCAGCTTTCTCCAAAATGTGCAGGGCTTTCCAATGTGAGAAGAAACATGTCTAACTGTCCTTCCACTTATGTGCTAAAGATGATGAACCTCTTAAATATTTTTGTTTCAAAACCAGCGTCTGTCCTGATGCAGCACCAATATGGTGGCACACACAGGGGATTATAATGCAGAGTTTTAAGACTTCGGAAGTCAGCTCTGTCGTCCTGGATCAGTGGCTCCCAACCTGGGGTCCCCAGATGTCTTTGGACTCAAATTCCCAGAAGCCTTCACCAAAAGCTGTGCTGGCTAGGATCTCTGGGAGTTGTAGTCCAAGTGCATCCGGGGACCCAGAGTTGGGAACCACCGGCCTAGATGAACAAATCTGTCCATTTCTGTCTAACAATTTAATTTCTAAATTCTCAGTTTCCTTCTGCTCCCAGTTTGAAGAAATTTCCAGATATTGGTAAAATCTTATCAAATAGGATCTGAAACAAACAAAATTCACCCTTATATAGCAGCTCACGCATACATAGGCAGTCACTCATAACGGTTAGAAAAGGGCCAGTTTACACGGCACCGAATCCTTTCCTACGTGATTTTAATGCACATTATCCAAAACCCTTTTCAGTTTGGCAGATGTTTCCTCAAATAAACAGAGGGGGTGACTTTATGTTATAGCAGCAAATGTGTATTTCCAACCCAACAAAGGCAATTTTACTGGATTGTGTACAAGAAAGTTTCCTGTGTTGCTCGAAATGCCTCTGTATGTAACTTATTTAAGCAAGAAGGGAAGCTGAAATTTTATCTGCTAAGTATACTTAGGATGAACATGTGGTCTTCTTGCTTTGATGCAATTTATACTTCTGAAGCCATTCACATTGCTTTCAGTCTTCCCTTTCAGCTCTCTGTATGTAATTTTGTTAATGTAATTTTCAGCCAACCCACTGATATTTCCAATTTTGTGACCTTATCGTTGTGAGCTGCAAAACTTCCATCTGCATTTATGATCCAACATGAACGAATAAAACGCTGGGATGGGGAAATGAAAAGTTAGTTTTCCTGTTCAGTAACTGATTCACCAGGAAACGTTGAGCAAGCCATCATCAACCTCAGTTTCTACATCTGTAAAATGGGAGCGGTATGATTTTCCTGAACTGCAGGGACGAGCAAATTCCAGAGGTCTATTTCTCCTTTGTGCCATCACTGATCTGAGAGGATCTGAGAAAGCTGTTTCTCACCTGAGCAGTATGAACTCAGGTGTGGTACTCAAATAAATTCTTTAAATAAAATCCCTCAGCCAGTAAACCATCTCTTTCACACACACACCCCAAAGAGAGAGAGAGAGGGAGGGAGGAAATTTTCCCAGTTATGGAAGTGGGCCAATCAAGAAATGAGTAGCTAGGCAAGACACAAAAAACCCATTTGGTGCTTCAAATTGTTAAAACCTCAGCCCACAAGGCGGCACAGCCGTTGTGGTGCAGCACCATTTTGTATTGCCTTCACAATAATCCTTCTGAGGCCTCTAGCCAAGAGTTTCACAGGCCAGAGGGACAATTTTGTGAAGAATTTACATCCTCTACTGGCGAACTGAAAGTGAGCCATCGTGTTCTGATATGGACTACCATTGTAAACACACCTTGGGTACATTTCCATGCTTCAATTATTTGGGGAAACGCTACCTAAACCCATATTGCGAGATGCTAAAGTTCACATTTGGACAGAACAGAACGGAATATATGGAAGAATAACACAGATGAGAAAGAGACTGTTTTATCCTTCCCTAGTCTCATCCCTCTGCCTTCGCTTCAGCTGTGGAATTCCTACCAAGACCTATGAATAATCTTGGTCAGAAAAATGTTTTCGCTCATTGTCCATGGTGCAAACCACCACAATAAGAAAGACACAGAACTGGCCGGCATATTTCTGCTGTGCTTGATTTAAGACAGTGAAATAGTCAGGAAAGCACTTCATATAAAAAAAAATCCCCCCCCCAACTTGGTCATACTAGTGAGTGTTTCTGAGAATTGTAATTTTAAAAAGCAGTTTCCCTCAAGTTTTGTATTTAGTTCTTCAGCATTACTGAAGGGGCTTCTAAAGGCATTTTCCCCCCTGAGGAATGAGGTGGTGTGAGAGACGCACATTAACTCAGAGCTGAGTGAAGGACGGCATTGAAAACATGAGATTAGAACTTTTTTTCTTTCCTGATCCACCAGTCCCGGCTGCTAATAATCCCAAGGGAGACATCACAGAATCATATCCCTTCCTCTCCTCTCGTGTCATTGCTCCTCTAAAACTGCTTTTTCAAATAAGTTGAGTAATTTGCTCTTACACTTACAAGATCTTACATTGTTCTGCTTTCTGTGTACTGCTGGATTTAGGAATGGTTAGCAATTGATTGAAGTAGGTGGCTAGATAGCTCAGTGGTTTAGTTATCTGGCTGTGGAGCCAGAGGTTGGGGGTTCAATTCCCCCAGGGTGCCTCCTGCGAGTAGAGCCAGCCTGCGTGGCCTTGGGCAAGCTGCACTGTCCGAGGGTGTTTCCAGAAGAAAGGAATGCTAAACCTTTTTTGAGTACTCTCTATCTGGAAAGGCCTGCAAAGAGTCGCCATAAATCAGAATTAATTTGATGGCAAATGCTTACTATCATAATTGTATTTCTTTTATTTTTGGGTAAGGATGTATCTACATTAGTAGAAGCCGAGTTTTCTTTTTTTTAATGGCAAACCTGGAAAGAAGGTGAAAATGACATATGTCATTCATTCCTTCAGAGCGGTATTTAAAACAAAACATAAAGTTATCTTGAAAGTTTCATAGGTGTCCAGAAATGTTGCAACAGATGGGGAGAAATTCAGATAAATTTCTAATGTGGCACTACTCTAACCTATGGGCTGTCCGTTGGACATCTGTAATTTTGAAGCAATTCTATAGGAAATATATGACTCATGAAGAGAAATACTGTAATGGTTGACATTTGGTGATGGCTGGACCTCATGAAATCCTTCAGTTTTTTTAGAGAATAAATGCCATAGATACTTAGCATCTGAGAGTTCCTAAGCTTGTGGCATCTAGTGGTGGGACCACGATTGACATCTGCTCTGCTCTTCCCCTTCAAACTTCCCCATCCCAGACTTCTGATAAGCATGAAGCAGAGGAGCTCAACTGCCATTTCAGGTGCATCATAGGGAATAAAAATGCATGCCATACTCAGCTGCCACCACTGCCAGGAAAAACCAGCAACGTCCACCAACAGAAGACATGACAGGCCACCAGAGATCTTTTGCCCAGGGTTGGTCCAAGACTTTTTCCTGCTTGGTGAAAGATAAAGTGGCCTATCTCCCTCTGCTCATGTTCAGGCAGAGCTGACCATCTGTTGAAATGTCCGGTAGCATGGACGATGGGATGGCTGATGCAGGAGGTTAATTGAGAGGAGTTAGGAGGTGTGACCTTCACAACTTTCTCCTCCAACAGACAGCTGGGGAGTTCGGGAAGAAGAATGAGGAGCCTACCAGCGCTGTCCTCCCAGATTCTACCGCCTGAAGACTTTGTCTAATGGTAGAGCCGGCTTTGCAGTGCTTCCTTAAAGCTGGAGCCGGCGGTGCTGCAGAATCCTTTTGCAAGTCCACAGACGGCGTGCCGGGTTCACAGGAAGGCCAGAACCTCATGCTCTTGAGATATTCATAACCAGATGAAAATGACTTTGTACCCTTTCCCAAAGACCGCAGAGAACAGGAGAATGTCTTTGCTCAGGCCGTGCCTGACGGATGAGAAAACACGTCCTGGCTGAACTTTACATTGTCCAAAACTGAAGATGAATCTGCTGAGAATCCAAGAGGCGGTGCTTGTTCTCCTGCATGGGATATGGAGACCTCAGCACAGGAAGAGGGTCAGGGGAGGAGAGAATGTAATCAATGCTAAATTTAATTTCAGAGTCAGATTTTCCTACGGAAGAGCTGTTTAGGCTCTCTTGGCTGGCGGGGGTGTTTGGAAAAAGTTCGTGAGGCTCTAAAGGCTGAGATTGGGATTCCACACGCTCACCAGGAGCAGACATGCTGGGAAAGGATGATTTCTCCAGGCCCAGCGTGGGCAGACTCTCATTCTCCGTGTTCAGCTTCTTTCCCCCGGGTTCTCGTTTCACATTTCTCCTCCGCCTCCTCCTCCGATAATTCCCATTTTCGAACAAATCCAGCATGGATTCACATCCTGAGGCAAAACTCCAATAGTTCCCTTTGCCCTTGTCCTTGCCTTCTGTCCGGGGCACCTGCATTTCACGGGGAAGCAGCAAACATGGTCAATGATACAGACAACCTCTTTAGTTCCCAAAAGATCTAAATATCTCCCCAAAACAGTGCACTTTCATCCAAGACTCCTCCTTTCCCCTTTATCAGAGAGAGCTGTGTCCCCTAAGATTGGGGGTTGGAGTGATTGGGTTCAGGAAGGAAATGCACTCCGTACATGCCCGGGAGACCTCTGTTTGAGGTTTGCTTCTGGTGTTCGAAGTCTGAGCCCCAGCAGTCAGAATAGATTAGGGGGCGGAACCACAGTGAAGACAAAACTCTAGGTTACACGCACATGTCTAGGCTTCAAAGGCTGCGGGTTCCACATCTGTGTTCGCTTAAACCCAAGTGTTTAAACCTCGGGTAAACATATATGACAAGCTGCTGAAACTCAGGCTCTCTAATTATAGAAGTCTTAGGTAAAGAGCCCTCCAATTTGCTATGTTTCTAGCACATATCTCAGAAGAGAGAATAGCATCTCTCTCTCTCTCTCTCTCTCCAGAAGAGAGAATACCATCTCTCCCCCCCTCCCTTTCCCTTATCCAAAAGGAACTAGAAGGCTGACATGGCATCTTATATGGTTACCACTTGATTTATCCTTAATCCTTTTAAACCCCTTCCCAGGTTAGGACATCGGCTTTCAGACTGCCTTCGAAAATTTCTTGGGGTCTGGGGAGGAAAAGAGCAGAAAGTCCTGGGAAGCCAACTTGTTCTATGTGACCAGTCGTTTTTCCTGCATCAGGAACCAGAAGAGACAACCAAGGGTCCCAGCTGAACATGCTGGAAAGGGTCACTTCATGGAAACTGATTTGCCTTAAAGCAACCCTTCCATCTGTGGAGGAATGCACTCTAAGTAGCTTCGAAAGCTTGAAAACATCTGAAATGTCTCCCAGTCCTTGGACCACTGAAGGGAAAGCAATGTGTTGAGAAAATGAAGCTGCCATAAGCCAAATCAAAACATGTAGCTCAATATTGCCTGAGCCAGTGGCTCCCAATCATGGGTCCCCAGATGTTCTTGGATTACAACTCCCAGAAATCCTGGCCAGCACAGCTAGTGGTGAAGGCTTCTGAGAGTTTTAGTTCAAGAATATCTGGAGACACAAGGTTGGGCATCACTGGACTATGTCAACAGTACAACCCTCATGGCCCTCCAGATGACAATGGTGTCACCCGCTGAAGCTTCCTATGCTGTGCGTTGACCACATCTGATAGGACTTGAACTCTAGGTCAATGTTGTCTCAACAATATGACTTAGAGCCCTCTAGATCAGTGGTCCCCAACCTTGGGCCTCCAGATGTTCCTGGACTTCAACTCCCAGAATCCTGGCCAGTAGAGGTGGTGGTGAAGGCTTCTGGGAGTTGTAGTCCAAGAACATCTGGAGGCCCAAGGTTGGGGACCACTGCTCTAGATGACAAGGAAGACTACATGTGCATCATCTATGGAAGGTAAAAGGGAAAAAGAAAGACTGAACAAAAATGGATTTAATCAATTAAGGAAGCCATAGACATCCTTTGCAAGACTATTCATGACGGGGCCATTTAAGGTCCTTTATCAGTACAAGGTCATCATAACTCAGAAGCAGCATGATGGCATTTAAAAAAACACAAGAGTCCAAAAACTCTAGTGGATCAAAGGTTTTCCCTTCCTAGATTTAGAGGAAGTATGTCGCTGTCAAAAATATTTGCTCCAAATCTAAATATTGTACATCTTCTGTGAATTGTCACCAGAGAACATTGATTGGGTCGCATGTTAGACCTGTGAAAACCCACCTTTCATCTGTACAACTGAATCTTTCAAATGCTTCAGCCAAAGATCAGTGGTAGGATATTTGTTTCATCATAGACTGAATCCTGAGATATCTCTCCTTGAAAGGATCAAGAAGGAGAGAACCCCCAAAGCACACCAAGAGGTATTTCAAATGCATATTTTGGGATAAATATATATTCATAAATGGGTATGTTTAGGGGAAAACAAACATTTAGAAGTTCTATTTTGTAAAAAAAAAAACTGTCTAAAAACCATGCTTTGTATGTGAATCTTACACATTTTTCAGAGATGGGAAAGTGGGAAAGAATTAATAACTCACTCACCTGCTACTGGGTCCGGTTCAATTTAAATTGAAGGGCCAGCTTTTAAACAATCAAATCGATGTTAAATTGCCTTTTAGCTTTAAATTAGGTAGAAGTTCTATTTTGTAAAAAAAAAAACTGTCTAAAAACCATGCTTTGTATGTGAATCTTACACATTTTTCAGAGATGGGAAAGTGGGAAAGAATTAATAACTCACTCACCTGCTACTGGGTCCGGTTCAATTTAAATTGAAGGGCCAGCTTTTAAACAATCAAATCGATGTTAAATTGCCTTTTAGCTTTAAATTAGGTGAGAATGGAAGGAAATTTTTAAAAAAAATTAATCTCTCCTTTCCATCTCTATTTTAAGCTTTGGAGAGAATGAAACAGCTACTGAGTTATCCTCTCTGTGTATGAAAAAAAACCCACTGGCTAACTCTGTTTATTTCTGACTGTTAATATTGTTGTCTTGCACTGTAAGAAGTAACCATAAAACTGGACAGAAAAGACATAGGAAGAAAATTGTACAAAACTGAAACACCCCAGAAACAGACAGATCTCTATCAATTACAGGGCTAAACCCACTGCATCATTCAATATATAGGATTTCTGTCTGTTTTATTTGATATTCTTCCGGCTTTTATTTATTAATTAAATCATTTATATGCTCTTCTCGATCCAAAGACCTTGGAGGTGCAATATGGAGACTGTGATCATTCTGAGTAGAGAATGTTCTGCAGTTCCGGTGTTTGGAAAATTTATTATTTTGGACTACGATTCCTAGAATCTTCTAGCTAGCAGGGGCTTGGCTTGGTGGTTAAGCTGTCACTGGAGTGCTTGAACCTTCCAATTTGGAGAGATCTCAGGAGCTGTAGTGAAAAATAAAAGCTTCCAGGCTCTGTAGACTCACAGCGGGTCTATAAATGCAGATATTTACCGCATCCCTTCAAAACAAGGTCCACAGTCAAGCAGTATCTGCAACCTTTGATGGGATGGTCCCTCCCTCCATTTTGGGATTCCATGGAATCAATGAGGGATGGACACCAGGTTTGTCCCCAGCTTGAATTCTGAATCAAACTGGCCTGATTCAGATGGATTTGTGTCCACACCACACAAGAAATGCCGGATTCAATTCAGGGCTGAAGTTAAGCTAGTTTAGAAACTGTTTTGAGCCATAATTAGTAGGGTTGCTAGTTACTTTGGCGTATTAGGGTGAGAATGTAAAAGCAGTGGTGTCTCATTTGCAAACTCTTGAAGCTAGCTATGTACATGACATTTGGCAGATTGACTCCCCTCTTTGGTGTCTAACATGCCTCCAGATTTCATCTGTCTCAAATAGCGGGTTGGGTTTTCCAGTGCAAGCCAACAGGAGGCGCTGTTCCTAAATATATAAATCAGCTTTGATCCAAGCCAAACCGTAGAATGCATAGGACACAAATAGCTTGACTGGGAGGAGAGGGGCATTACTTATAAAGCCCTATATAGATTGGGTCCAGTATCTCCCCGTATGAGTCTTCTTGGCATTTAAGGTCATCAGAGGAGGCCCTCCTTTCGGTCTCATTGCCAACACTGGCATGGCAGATGGGAGACACAAGAGAGGGCCTTCTCTGTGGCTGCTCCCAGGTTATGGAAGGCTCTCTCTCGGGAGATCAATCTGTTTCCCTACATTTTGTCCTTCCTCTAACAACAAGACCCACCTTTTCAGGCAGGCTTCTAACAATCATGGCTGAGTCCCTGAATGCCTTTTTAAAGTTCAGATGGTTTGTAATGTCACCTTGCTTTTAATGATTCCGTGGTATTTTAATTAGCCCACAGTTTAATCTATCTTTTAAATGGTTAACTTATATTTTTAATTCTGTTTCTTAATACTGTGAGCCACCTTTGGCCCCCCTTATTAGGAGAAAGGTGACCAATAAAAAAAACACCAAACCAATTCTGAAGCCCCAAGATGGCCTCCATGCAGGACCCTCGAGTCAACAGTAAAGGATTGAACCCACTCAGCCGAGGGTTCCAGAGACCTTACCTTGATGAAGCAGCTGTTGAGAGAGAGGTTGTGGCGGATGGAGTTCTGCCAGGCGCGCTGGTTGGTCCGGTAGTAAGGGAATTTCTTCATGATGAAGTCGTAAATGCCGGATAGGGTGACCTTGTTGGAAGGACTTTGCTGAATGGCCATTGCAATCAACGCGATGTAGCTGGAGGAGACAAAAACCCAACGTGCTAGAATGCCAGTCTGCGTGCACAGATATTGACATTATGGGGATCTAAATCCAGGCTATTCAGGAAGTCCCATGGAGAAGTCAGAGACATTAAGCCACTTTGGATTGAACCCTAGTTAAGACTTATTTTAAACCCCTTTATTAGGTACTTGTCTGGATAGCTTAGTGGCTTAGGTATCTGGCTGCAGAGCAAGAAGTTGAGTGTCTGCTCTCCCATTGTGTCTCCAGGGAGAAGAGCCAGCCTGTGTATCCCTGGGCAAACTGCGCAGTCTCAGGGCATTTTCAGAAGAAGGGAAGGCTAAACCACTTTCTGAGTAACTCTGGAAAGTGTAGCCATGTCAGAATGGTCTTGATGGCATCCATTTATTATTATTTGCTGGGAAGTGAGGTCCACTGGACACAACAGGATTTGGTTCTACGTAAATCTGTAAATTGATTGTGTTGGGCTCCCACTGAAATCAATGTGAATGGATGGTTATGACTTAAGTCTCGTTGATTTAGATGGAAACACACCTAAGCATGACTATGTACCATCCTCTATGTGCATTCTCAAAACTAAGTCGTTTTTGCATTGAACGGGAATTACTTCCTTGTTAAGTACGTTCAGGATGACAGCTTTAGTCTGGGCTCAACCCATACCTCTAGTAATACATTGCTGGAGCATTTTTGCACTCATTTCTACCTTGTTTCCTCACCAAGTCAAGCAATTAATACATCCACAGAAGAATTCATAACATGGTTAAATGGGGATTTGAACCAGGTCTACCAAATCATGGTTTCAAACTCTAAGTGCTACAAACCAAACTAGCTGTGGCATTACCAGTGAAAGGCTGTTGTTGCTGCTGCTGCTGATGTTATCGGTATGTGCTGTTAAGTTGCCTCCAACTTATGGCCACCCCTTGATCTCTAAAATGTCCTGTCCTTAGCAGTAGCTGTTGTTGCTGCTGCTGATGTTATCGGTACGTGCTGTTAAGTTGCCTCCAACTTATGGCAACCCCTTGAACAAGTGATCTCTAAAATGTCCTGTCCTTAGCAGTTGTGCTCAACTCTTCTAGACACCTTAAAGGCAGCCACAAGCTTGAATTTATAAGAGCTGAGCAGGGCAGTTTGTGGAAAGGACATTTTCGCTCATTCATAGGGTTGCCATCAGTTGGAGGCAACGTGACGGCACAGAGCAGGGAAATCTCAAAATTGTGAGTTATCCCCAGATTGTCCCTCAATGAGCATTTGCAACAATGATTGGTCTGCCATATTGTCTAAGGAGATGTAACCACCTAGCTGATAATCTAGCATCATTAAGAAGAAAACACCCCTGCTTAAATACCTGCCATACTACACCACTGTACATCTGTACTTCTTCTGCATGTGAAATTCTGTGGTTTTTCTATCCTGTTCCAAAGATGGGCGCTTCAATTGTTTTTGAAACAAGACAAGGGAATGAATTTGTAACTTTAAAAAAAATCAGAAGCTTCGCAGATAGGAAACCTGTGATATTTGGCAGGTGGCTTCTCCTGAAGCAGAAGTTTGCTAACCAGTAGCAAACTATATTTGGGCTAAATGCAACTCTATTCTGTCTCTGTCTGCATGGAAGCGCTGAGTACAGGTGAGTTTTCGGAGTCTAGAAATTGGTCTTTCCCCTTTTGCTCCTTAGGACTGTCTCTTTTAATCCGCATTGGTGTGGATGAATCAATGCGAGCTTCAGCAGATTAATCTTTGTTGATGGAACTAAGAATTCAAGGTTTGGGTGGTAGATGGATTAGGACAGGCTTCCCCCCTCCCAAAAATATGGGTATGTCCACCTGTCTTCGTTACAAGCCATTATTGGTTACAAGGTAAGCTTGTGGGGGGTTTTTTGGTGGTTTTTTAAAAGGTTATTTTGCATTAATATAATGGAATTTAAAAGGTCAAATATAATCTTTGCTTCTGCTAATAAGTTGTATGTTTCTGTTTGGTAAATGGCAAGTCACCTCCTGGTCTCTTCAAAACTACAAAGAACTGAGGGGGGGGGGCTATTGAACTGTGGTGATTAGCTAATTAATCAGCTCACTGGTTTGAAGGATGATCCATCACTTCAAAATTCTGCAATGTGTCAAAAGACCTAGTTGAGACTCAACGGCTTACGACGGGGTGTTATCCTGATTGTTTTAGTCTCAACAAAAGAAACTAAATAAACCGCTCATACATTTGAGACACAGTTATGAGATTTTTGCACGGGGTCCCTTTTAAGGAAAAAGGCGGGGTAAAAATATTTTAAATGAATGAATGAATGAATGAATGGAAGAGAGCGAAAGGAACCAAAACTTCAGGATGGAGAGTTAGTTCAGGAGATCATTCATAATTGTACGTTTTATCAAACTAGGCATCTACCTATCAATTGTTTACACCCCACACATGCATTACCGACCTACATGCATGCGCACACAAAATATAACTCTTCAGCACTTTGAGGGTGCAAGGCGCTTTAAAACTATCCTCCAAGCAATCTTGTGGTGTAGATAGTTTTGATCACCCTGTGCCCCCTCCCAGTGACCCTCATGACCAAACCGGATCCTGACCTCCTCCAGCTGTCATTCACCAGCTTCCAAGGGTTAACACATTGAAACAGATGGCATAAGGTTTACTCCGACACACACACCCCACATCTCCAATCCTGGTGCTTCCCTATTTTTCTTTTTCTTCTTCTGCCCATGCTTGCAAAGATGCTCGGAGGAGACGGTTTCCAAACCACCCAGACAAAGCCAAAGAAACCTCCCCTGAGGAATTCCCCCAGAATCTGGCAACATGTGGGCAAGGAGAGGGAGTGAGAAGACATTCGGAGGGAGAGAAAAGAAAGTTAAGCTTACCTGTATGCCGGCCGGGTGAATCTTTTCTCCTCATCGGAGCTGCAGGTTGGGTAGTCCTCTCCATCATAATTAAAGCAGTTGTATGGGTATTGAGTGTTGTCAAACATTCTCTTGGTCTTTCGACTCCTGTGAGGTGCGAGGGAGAGAAAGACACACACAGAGAGAGACAGAGAGAGAGAAGTGAACAGTGATGTTTCCTTGAATGTTTTCCCTCTTTGCCTCTGCTGCCACCTTTCCTCCCTCCTCTCTCTCTCTGCTCCCCCCCCCTGCTTCACCCCATGCTAGCAATTTTCCCTTGGAGTCCTTTACAAAATTCTGGATGAGTTTGGTTTACCCTCCCATTTCCCCCACACGGTAGGGAAAGGCAGTGACTAACCCAGGGAAATGTAAAGGTCCCTCCTGAACCTTTGAACTTGGGTGTATACAGCCAGTAGCAAGAGGCGCTGCCTTCCTGGGTGGTCCCGAACTCGCAAGGCGCGTAGCAGCCTTTCCTGCCATCAATGTACACAATGTGACAAAAGTAAACAATGTGAGGTTAATAAACTCGTCCTTGTAAATGGAACTCAGTCGTTGGCTTCTTGAGCGTCGGTTTTGGAGGCAAGAGACCATTGCCAGCCATTTGCCGGTTTTGATTCGCCGACGACAAAATTTTGTCATGTGAGAATTGAATCCATCTCGGACAATGTGGCAAAGCCTTGTCGTGGGATTGAACCCCCCCCCAAAAAAAAACACAAGAAAGCCAACCCTTCGGTGGGTACAAACTCAGTTCCTCCCACGGAATAAACTCCAGCATGTTCAAAGAGGGCAAAACCGCGAAGATTTAAGAGACTATCATTGAAGAGGAAAGTAAAAGGAAAATAGCCGTAGGCAGACCGAGCGCCTTGTGCGGGCTTTGATCTGTCGGATGAATTAGACTAATAACTCAGTGCGCTGGCATACAATCCTGTAACAAGTAGATAGTCTTCCCACCCACCCCTCTCCACACAATGCTTTGGAGTGGTTTCCAACATGTGATGTAAACTTAAACGTGGATCATTCAGTGGTTTCATGATGAGAAAGCAGGAGGAAGGGAGTTCCCTAAAAGGTGTGGGCCCGCATGATAATTAAATGGGGGGGGGGGAGTCATTTCACACCCAGAAGCTGTTGATGAACAAAGGCAGAGAGGGTTAGCCAGATCGGAAAACGGCTGGGGAAAGATGGAGACAACGTTTCTGACCCACTGATTCATCAAAGCAGAAAAGCAAAGCCGGCTGCTTATATACTGCCCCAAAGTGCTTAGAGCACTCTCTGGATGCTTTAATTATGCAGGCTACACATTGCCTCTCCCCCGAGGGAGTTGGCTACGCCACTGGTTCTTAACCTTGGGTTACTCAGGAGTTAGGGAGTTGGCTACTCCATTTACCAACCTTGTCAGAATGGAAGGCTGAGTGAACCTTGAGCCAGTTACATGGGATTGAACCTGGATCCTGGGCAGAGTTTTGGTTAAACCGCAAAACTGCAGTTTAACCAATGTGCCGTGACGTTCAGGTCTGGTATTGTCTACACTAGGGTGTTCCATGTTGGACTGTATCTCCCATCATCTTCTAATGGGATTGAACCTGGATCCTGGGCAGAGTTTTGGTTAAACTGCAATACTGCAGTTTAACCAATGTGCCATGACGTTCAGGTCTGGTATTGTCTACACTGGGGGGGTTCCATGTTGGACTGTATCTCCCATCATCTTCTAGGATCCTGTTGGCTAGAGTCACAGCTGGGGAACCTTAATTAAAAGAGCTCATATGAAAATCATGGTCTATGCACTGAGCAAGAAGAAAAGCTGACTGAAATTAATAATAATCATGCCATCAAGTCAATTCCAATTTGCTGTGACCCTTTTTTTCAGGATTTTCCAAGTGGATAATAAAGTACTTTGAAGTGTTTTATCCTTCCTTGCTTCTCTGTTTTCTGGGGTGCACAGGGGGAAATTGTACTTCTGATCTTTGACTCCAGAATCAGATACCAAAACTGCTGAGCTAGCTAGGTAGCTAATAACAATTGCATGGCATCAAGTCAACTCTGATAGTGACTGTTTTTGGGGTTTTCTAGGTAGAGAATATTCAGAAGTGGTTTAGCCACTGGAATAGGAGAACTCCGAACCTCTGGCTCTGCAGCTAGATACCTTAACGACTGAGCTATCCAGCCAGCTTATACTAACTGATATTTCAAGGTTTGGAAAATAATGTGTTTAATGGTTGTTGTGGGTTTTCCGGGCTCTTTGGCCGTGTCCATTGGAAGGGGGGAGCTCTGAACCTCTGGCTCTGCAGCTAGATAACTTAACGACTGAGCTATCCAGCCAGCTTAAACTAACTGATATTTCAAGGTTTGGGAAATAATGTTTTTAATGGTTGTTGTGGGTTTTTCAGGTTCTTTGGCTGTGTTCTGAAGGTTGTTCTTCCTAATGTTTCGCCAGTCTCTGAGGCCGGCATCTTCAGAGGACAGGAGTAGCACTCTGTGCTCTGGTGCAGTTTGTTTGGGAGTTGAGTATTTATAGCTGTTGGACCAGCTTTTGTCCTTTTCAGGAGATGGGTGATTATGGTGATCAGTGTGTTTTTGTTGTGGGTGCATTGTTGTCATAAGGAGGAGAGATTATCTGTCCCTGTGATTGATGGGTGTCGTTAGCGGGTCTTTTGTGAGAAGAACAACCTTCAGAACACAGCCAAAGAGCCCGAAAAACCCACAACAACCATTAGATGCCGGCCTTGAAAGCCTTCGTGAATACAATGTTTTTAATGCTTCTCGATACTTTAATGCTTCTCGACTGTAGTTTGTACATGTTCTCTGAAGTTTAGATGCAATCCTGTTTAAAGAAAAAGTAATGATTTCAGCATTAAATTTAACATGCTATTTCCAGTTTATCGCTACAACGGATAGACATTCTAGCCTATCATGATCTGGAAAGCCACAAGTGATTTTATTTCATCGTTTATTGTTTCTCCATGTCTACAATTAGCACTGTAGTTTATACTACAGACTATCTGTAGTTTGTACAGTGGTGCCTCGCTTAGTGACGTTAATCCGTGCAGCAAAAATCGCTGCTAAGCGATTTCGTCGCTAAGCAATTTTTAAAAGCCCATAGAAACGCATTAAAACGCGTTTAATGCATTCCTATGGGCTTAAAAACTAACCTTAAGTGAAGATCCTCCATGGTGCTACCATTTTCGGTGCCTCTAAAGCGAGGAATCCGCACGAAAACACAGCGGGCTGCCATTTTGTTTACCCGGCAGCTATTTTGAAACCGCCGATCAGCTGTTAAAAAATAATCCCATAGGGCACATCGCAAAGCGATCGCTTTTGCGATCGCAAAAAGTTCATCGCTATGCGGTTTCATTGCTAAACGGAGTGCCCGTTAAGCGAGGCATCACTGTACATGTTGGTTGTGCATATTACACTCTTGGGTAGTAAGTAATTAAGTAAGCAAGCAAGCAAGCAAGCAAGTAAGTAAGTAAGTAAGTAAGTAAGTAAGTAAGTAAGTAAGTAAGTAAGTAAGTAAATAAATAAATAAATAAATAAATAA